TACACATACGCGAATTCGTGGCATTCTAGTGGCTTGGATTATGACACGATGAATAGTGCTCCGTCTCTTTAACTTTCTCGTACTTACTTCGTAAGAAGATAAAGTTATATAATCGTGCTCCAGAAAATGGCCAGCTCGTATCGAAAAAAGTGGATATATCCTGTTGCAAAGCATAGTAAATTACTTCCTCTAACACGTAGTATAGCTATAATCCATGTTTTGTGAGTCCCTGATATCTAAAAATCGACTGATGACAAAACGTCTGTCCGTTCGCCTGTGGTCAATGCCAGCGCATAAACCGTTCACACAATTTTCTCCAAAATTGATATTCACCAATATTTGATGTGAATGACCTTAAGGTTAAGAGTTTCCCCCAGATATTTTATTTTTTGGCAACTTTAGATGAAGCCTCAAAAACTTTTTCAAACTTTTCTAAAAAATGGCACCAAGTGTTTTGATTAATATTTGTCCTTCGGTAACATAAAGAACGCATATGAGAATTGGGCAAGTCTCAAGTTCTTTCGAAATCATAGATTTTTCGAAAATTGCGAAAATGCAAATTTTTTGGGGAGCGTCTTCCTACAACAATAATAGTTTAGACAGAGGTAATTTCCTTATTGAAATTTGTTCCTTTAAGAAAGACATGAAATAAGATCATTTCACATTTTTTAATGTATCAGTAATTTTTGCATACTTTCTCACGAAATATAGGCAATATTTCATATTTAAATTTTTTTCTCTCAAACTACTCAAATTTTTCTTTACATTTTCTCCTTACATGTATCAAAAGTCAGTAAAAATATGGTGTTAGTCCCATTTTCGTCGAAATTTATTTTAGAAAGTTGTAGAAAGTTAACATTTCAGAACAAAAAAATTGAAGATGAAGATAAGATTTTTTTGGTCTTAGACAAAGTCTGTTACAAAACATCAGCACTTTAAAAGTTCATGAACATTGTTTTTAAAAAAAGGGGTATATTTCGCGTAATTTGGGCTTGAAATAAATGAAATTTATAAAAAACATTGTTTCAAGAACAGATTTAATTTTTATCTTCAAAATTTTCTACGGGTAGAAGAAGGGATGCTTAAATGAATTGCGTGGGTCTCATTTTTGTTGAACTCTCTCAATTTTGGGAAATTATTTTTTTTTAAATAATGCAAGAAAATATGTGCTGTTGTAGCACTAATAGTAAAATATTAATTTTAATTTAAATATTAATTAATAGCAAAATTATGTATTAAATTAGGAACTTAGACATATACTTGGCCAAAAAGAAAGACCAATAGGATTTCAATACAAGTAGCTCTGCTGCTGAAATATCTGCTTCTTGAAACAGAAATATTATTAGTATGTTCAATATTTTTTCATGTATCGGTAAGGATTACTTTTTTAATACAATAACTACATTTGTTATAATTTATGTAATCATAACTGTTTTTGAAATGGTATTTTTGTTGTTGTTAATTACATGTATGTCGCATGGTTTTAAGGTTCCCAATTTTGTGATTATGAACACCCGTAACTAAGCACCGCCGCTACTGAATCTCCAAAGAAAAGTGAAATGTGCACATTAAGTTCACATAAACTAGGAAACCCCGAAATGTGTGTTTTCCTTTGTGCTAAAGCTTTTTGACTTCCTGAACAAAATATTCCAAAATAATTTAGTGGAAATAAATTGTGTCAAAGTGTGCAGTTTATCTGTAATTGTAGTCAACATTTTCATTAATATGTTAATTACATCATCCATTTAAGAATTATTAAATATCATTTTCGATATCACTATCTACTATATTAATTTTGAATGTGCGCATTAATTAAAGGAAAACTAAAGAGCCCTGTGAGGGATGTCAATGGTTTCGTTAGATACTCAGAAAGTAGGAAAAGCAATGAAGCAGATTCGATTTTATCTGAATAATGCAAATATTTTAGTGTTATTTAGTGATTTCTCGTCCTTCATGTCAAGACTATAATCCCTCACTCAGCGCATCACTGCTTATGGCACTGTGGGACAAGGAACAACGAGGCTGCAATATTCACGTGTGGCGTTTCAGAACAGCCATTTCATTTCTCTCCAAAATCCCATTTTACATTCATCCGTCAGCAGCATTTTTCTCATGCAGGACACTAATTATTTGTTATTTTTTTATTTCTTTGGGTTAATATATGGATACTCTAGATTATGAAGTCTTGTTTAATCTTTCGAAATAGAATGATAGACTATTAATGTAAAATGTTTTTAAATTCAGAAAAGTTGAGTTCGGAAAATCCACTGCATTTGATTCATAATAGGAAAATTCATTAAGGATACGAATGTACATTCATCAAAGATTAACTTCGTGCTTCAGTAAACATCGGTATTGAGTCAGCTATGAATTAAACTTTCACAGATGTCAGGCAGGATGTGATCATTGTAGAAAGCTTGACATTTAAAAAGGTAACCAGCCAACAAACATCCAAACATTCGGTCTGTCAGTATGAAATTATATATTGCGTATTCAATATATTTATATATAAGGTTAATTAGATCAACTGAAAAAAAATTGTTGTGATACGACCAAGACAGCCGAGCGTATTTCCTTTTGTTATATAAATTATCGCTTAGATGAGTCAGTAACGTCATGACAAAACAACAACCATTCCTATATGTCTCAAGATACACACTATATCAGTGTGCATGCTTAGCATTCTCGTACATTACTACGGGAAATAACGGAATAATTGTATACATTACAAAGTTGTTTAACCCGATCAACAGCTGGCGCAATTAATGTTTCAATTTAATAACACAATTCTTAAAAACCGTAAATCACATTTTTAATCCCCACGGTCACATTAAGAGAAGCAATATTATTTTAAAACAGCTCGTTTGCTCAAATAAGGTCGGCGTTGGCAGTGAGGTGGCTTAGGCAAAAACTCGCGGCGACGCGGTTGGCAGTGTGGGCATGGCAAAACCGCGAATCAGCTCGCTTCGACGCCACCGCGGTGCGCGTAATGACCCCCGAACCAACCCACCTACCGATCCACCAACGGGCGGGCCGACCGACCGACTACGTCCCGCACACAGCAGCAACAACCGGGAGCTTAATTGATTGCGCAGTGGAAGAGGCGGTGTGGGATTATCTGCGGCTGCACTTAATGATTAATGAATCGAAAGCGAAATCCTGATTTTTAAAAACACAGCACATTGTTATTGTTTATTATTCGACGGCTGATTCAGACTGCAGGATCCTTATGAAGGTCTACAGAGAGACTTGCAATTGCTGACAGATATTGAGATCCTTAAACTGCTTAGAGTGCAATCAGTGTGAAAAAGTTTTCAGACAATTGGAGGTGGTTGGACTTTGGCGTGTTCTGTAGATCAATTTCACGGGTCAAAACTTGTGACCGAATTATTTAAGTAGTAACATTACTAAAAAATAATTTTACTTCTTAACAAATAACAGCCTTAGAAAATCATATTTGATGCGTTAATAAGGAACTTTAAAACAAAATTAAGTAATCAGCCAAATGGTGAGAAAAATGGATTGTGTATTAATATTACATAAGAATTAGTGTGAAGTGTCATTTGCATGGACACAAGGCAAGTCCAAAATCTCAGTTATCAATTTTCTGTGGTTTCTCCGATCAACACTAAGCGAATGCTGGAGCAGTACAGTAACCAACGGGCTAGGAACCACGCGATCATTCCTTTCTCTTACTTGTTCTATCATCTCCCTTTACGTATACTCACATTTACTCGCTACACTACTACGTTAGGAGAACAGTCCGGAACTTAGAGCTTGTCCCGGCTAGGGCGGTGCCCCGCTGGTGGGAGATGCCTATGCCTAATGGACCCCCCCCCCCAAGTCGACGTGTACGTTGGTGCCAGATCTCGCCATCCTGTGAGGAAAGATCACAATCATCTCGATCACAGCTCTCGATATAACACGCACTACACTTACGAGACTAATTACTGTATCAGTTGACGCGTCTGGAAACGCCAATCAATCAATCTGGGTTATCAATGGACAAAGCAGGTGACACGCTCCGAAACACAAAATATTCAATCAGTCGTCTTATTGTACTTAAAAACTTCGCGAAAAATGACATGCAGATAAAACAATTTTAAATATTGTCTTTTATTCACGTACGTTTTCAACTGATTGCAAAAATACCAGTACATTGTACAACATACAAATTATAGGATGAAATACAATGCTTCTTCAAAAGTGTGATAGATAAGAGTAGAAATCGAGTATGAATGATGACGATGAGTTACTGAAGAATTGAATATAAAAATGTGTACATAAAAATACATGGTCGTAAAACTGAATAACAGTGAGAGTGAATCTTTTGTTTGATTTTACAAAATAGTTCAAAACACGCAAATTTTCTTTAATATATTGGGTTTTATGAATAGAAGCGCCCTTAAAAGAGAAATCTGTGAAGATAAATTTATAAATTTTGATTGACTATTCCACTCGTGAAATTAAAATCAATAGTGTTTAACTATTCATACAAAATGCCCCAAACAGGACGGTGTATATCAAACAGCTTATCGCTTTTTCTATCCCAATTTTCGTACCACTTCTCCCTACTGGCCAATCGTAAACTGTGACTCATCTATCTTAGGAGGGGTATACCTCGATCGCTATTTCTATGTCCAATAAAGCGGGTATTATACCGTAACCTCTTCGATTTTATATTAAAATCGAAAAGGTTATGGTATAGTACATACGCTTTTAGTTATTTTCAATATTTGACGCATTTTGGAACTCTGTTGGCCATAATTTCATTCGTGGAACAGTCCTGTTAAATACCACTCGTGCTTTAGAAATTTTCAGATAAATCCCCTCGTCGCTTCGCGCGGCGGGGCTTTCGTGGTATTATCTATGATAATGTCTCAAAATTACCTACATCAAAATTATTTTACAACTTTTCCGCATTACATTTTAAAACAAATCGAGCATAGAAAGTCAGGTGAATCGGTTCAAAGAAGAAATTATCAGGTAAGAAGTCTCACCGGACAGCAGAGTAGCGAAATGCGATAAGTGGACCATGGTGGCAGGTGGAGAGCGGGCTGGGCGGCGATTGTCACTGGAGTCCCGTGGGCGTCGCGTCGTCCTTCCTGCGCTGCTCGACCTCCCTGGATCTGCAACAGGTCGCCGCAGCTGTCGGGCCACCCCTACCCGATGCCCATCCATCGCCGCCAACTCATTTTATGGACTACTCGCAAACTATTTAATGGACCATCCAACTTCTCAGTGACTACGGCGGAGTGTAGATCTTCAACGAGGTAAAGATGGGATATCTCGGAGGATATTTGCATATAATCTGTATCACCTACGTCGTTACTTAGGATGTCTACTTTAATTATCGATGTAATTGCTTATAGGATGTGATGATGCCGTACTTGAAAGAAATGGCAACCACACTTATTTCATATTAAATCTTGCAGATTCATTCTTGAATATTTCAACATTAATTTTGCATGTCATTTTAAGCAAACAAATTTTATAAGATAATAATTATTATGTTACTACATCATTTCCTACTTTCTTTCTCATGAAGAGTATTAAGAATAGAAAAATCTTTCGAATGCATTTTTCAGGGTTCAAAATATTAGTTGAAATATTTGAAATTAAAAACATTAAATAGCAATTACATTAAAGGGGAAATAAAACAAAATCTTACAGTTTAATTCTCATCTTTAAAATAAGGAATTTAAATGATAAACTAGACTTTTAAAGAAAAATACCAAAAAAGTTTAGTTGTTTAAAAACAATAATAAATTAGAAAAAGGAGCTGTTTGTGCATTTGTGACACAAATGCGACCGGAATTTGAATAGCAACCCCTTAGTGGAAGGTGGTAGGAAATCTAATCGCTACATCGCCGGTTGGGCTCATTTTTATTGACGAAAAAATGGAGCCAACTTTAAAGAACGTTCTTCGCTGAATGCGATAGGTTGAGGGTCCTGAATACTAGTGTATCAAGTTATTAATTTTGCAACGTAACGTCTTCTTGAGATGATAATTTTTGTTCTAAATCTACATTTTTTTGGAAATAAGTAGATTTAGAAGAGTTATATACAGAATAGTACCTTTAGGAGCCCTTGTGAGAGATGTCAGGAACGTGGCAAGTAATGGTTAATGGATGACACGCGTCCTATTATTGGGTCGGCATGGAAGTGCGTTCGGCACACTACCGAACGCGCGCTCGGTTAAACTACTGCGTCGAGAGCGTTGTAGCTACGTGCACTTGTAAGGAGCCATGAGTTGCTATATTATCAACTCGAGCTAGTACTTCCGAACGGTCGACGTAAAAATAAAAGGAAATTTTAAATACAATAATTTCAATTTCTAAAACTGTATGACAAAGAATAACTCCTGGAGGCCAAGTATGTTAGATACAGTGATGGGAATACGTCAAGCTCACCTTTCTGCTTTGAGCCTTACCCTTAGGCGTCGATAATAAATTTTAAATAATGATCCAGGCCTGAGAACACTAGTAAGCGGCAAAATTCGGTTTAGTCCGACCCTAAAATTCCAAATACGTACATACTACTTTCGAAGTGCGATTAGACAAAGCTGATCAGCAGCTATAGAATCCCAGGCGCCTGCTGTGAAGCGCCTTCAATGAAACCAAACGAAATTTTCGTTCGTAACCCAATACATGAAGACATGAGAGTCCCTCGAACTCTGAAGTAGTTTAGATCAGCGTTCTGCGGTAATCTCTGCCGGGCTCCATGCAGCGGCGGCGCGCCACGCCGAGGGGTGAGTGAGCGATTGTGCGCCAAGCGCGGATTACGGCAACTCACGCGCTCGCACAGCTGAGGGCGGCTGGGGCATTCGGGACGCAAACGCGCTTTGGCCCAACTTTTAGCAGCCAGGTTTAATTAAAAATTCAATTCCCTGGATGTGCGTCCATCATTTACATTTAAACTGAATTTTCCCCCAACGGAGAGCTTCCGAGTCGTGGTAAATGCATCACTTGGCGCCGAACGATGGGTGCATTAACCTCTGTTATTTGGCCGCCATTCCGCCTTTTTACAGAAGTAAGTAAAACTGACGTAAACAGAAAGATAAATGCTTTGTGAGAACTGCTTAAAATGTTTATATAATATTCTAGAATATAAATTACAGTTCTTTAATTAAATACATTTTAAATAATATGTAAAAGCTGACGAATAGATGCACTCAGTCGTCAATGAGGGTTTTTTGGTGTATTTTAAATTTTACAAAATTCACGAAAAGGAACAGTTTAATAGATATTCTAAATTTTGTAGTTCAGATTACCACTTGATATTGGTTATTCACTTTTCGCTCGGTAAATATGATTTAAAATGTTTCTCATGAGATTGAACCATGAACAAAATCATCTCAATGAAGTGTGCGAGGGGATATGAAAATTAGCTTTAAGGGAAAATTGAGTAAACTTCACACAACCATTAGAAATGATAAATTTTCAGCATTTTTATTTTTTTATAAGAACTACTTCATGAAACATTTACTAATTAAGTGAAGACGAAGAACAATATTTCATGAAAAAAAAAATCCGTAGACAGTTTATTCTCAGACTTATCAAAAATAGATTTTAGGAATGATTTTCAGAACCGCCAGCTTTCAAATAGTTACAGGGGAGAATATTAGCAAAATAATTTCAATGTGAATTTGTTATTTACGGGCATTGTGCAAACATTGTGCAAGACACCGAAAATTTGAACGCTGTCACAGTCTCCTCGAATATTGGGCACGACAAAGAAGTAACCCCGACGGCGGCCCGATGCAAGAAGCTCGCGTGTGGGCGAGGCACGTACCTGCAGGCGGTGCGGCGCCAGCGCGGCGCCGGCGCGGCGCCTGGCACTCACCTGGACGATGGGGCCGACTGTCGCCGCTTGCTGGGACGGGGGCGCCTGCCGCGCACGCTTTATACCATCCCGCCGCCCTCGCCCCGCCAGCGCTGCTACGCCGCTGCCCACGCCGACGCACCGCTCCTCCAACTCCCCTGGGCGCCGACGCATCCATCGCCATGGCACCGCCCCCACGTCCACCGGCTCCCGCCCTCGCCACGCCTCGCCGCCGACGCACGCCTCCCACGCGGCCTCGGCGCCTCCGCCTGCAGAGGAACCCGCCGAAATTCTCAAGATGGAGGTCTCGCAATCCGTGTATTGTTCATCGCACTTCCAATGCAGCTGTCTTACCAACTTGTGAGACTTGTCTGTCAAATCATCGTTAGAGTTCATATTTTCGGAGTTTATTATTCCCAAATTGTTAATTGATTGAACACTGTTGATTTATCTAGATATCAATTTTCAAAAAATCGTTCCAATTTTTTTCGTCTGATTATAAACAGTTCAATGTGTTCACAATTTTTTATTCATGTATCTATTCTCTTCTTCGCAATTTAAGGAGATAATTGTTAAAAACTCAAATCGTAGTCCAAATCGTATTTTCGAATTTAAATGATCCAAGAACAACTTTATGACTGATGTCCTTTATTCATACAAATTCTATTTCAATACAGAAATCATGTAATTGGCGAATATCTCTTTATATCTACAACTTACACTTGCCTTTGTACGTGAGCGTTAACAGACACGCCACCATTAACAGACACGTACAGGATGCACAAGAAAAACTGAAATTTTTTTTTTTTTTCGGAAATGTACCATACATCTGTTTTCTCCATGTTTTGTTCTCATTGCCAGCTTTCGGTGCTTTCGAGGTAAGTAACTTAAAACAGAGTGATGCTGTATTTCATCCGTAAACAGCTTCTGGAAGACACGCTTCCTGTTTTATGAATGAACTTCGATTGACGCAGGAGAACTGGCTCACTTACTTTTTTCGTAATTATTATTCACAAATAATAAAACGTCTAAGTTCATGTAACTTACTGAATTTATTCATAAATCTTTTCTTGATTTACTCAGTTTGCAAATGAAAGTATGTGTACCAGGCATACCACGTGATGTACAAGTGACGTCAACTTTCGGGTCGGATTGTCGGTCGCCGGGCAGCTGCGGATTTTAACATTAACCAGCATTTCGCCGAAAATATACGTTCAATATTAGATGATTTGTGTTCCTCTACTTCTGGTTGTTTGTGTTAAATAAGCCATGTGATTAATTTAATCGGTAAATGTCGTTAACAGTTTATGCGCCATTTTTTTTAATACTTCCTAATCTTCGTGCCTCAAAGTTCCAGTGTGCCAAACTGCAAAAATGATCATTACGATGGTAGCAAGTTTAATATGTTTGATTTTCGTGAAGAACCCGAAAAAATAAAGCTGATGCGATTCTACGATTCATAAGATTGACCCAACATTCAGCTGTGTGCAAAAACATTTTTCATGCAGGCATTTCTTCACTGGGAATTGTGTGAGACGAGGTGATAGATCTTGGCTAGCTGAGTTCAGGAAACGACCTTTATCGACAGATGATGCCCAACAATTTTTTTCCAAATCCTAAGAAAAGTACTTTCACCTTAACGAAAATCTGCTGATCGAAAGGCGTAGTGGAACCCAAGTTCAGATCATTGTTTAAAAAATGTCATTTCTACATTTTATGTTTTTATTCAAAATTTGCAAACCGATGAATTACGAAAGTTTTTCTATTGCAAAGAAACACACAGTATTTTGTTCTTTAAAGTAAACCAGTCTGAAATATACCCCAAAAGTTCTTGTGGTTTTAAAACATTCAAATATCTTTTGATAGAGGTATTTTACAACAGTAACATTGTTTGTAATTAAAATTTCTAATGAGTTCTTGATAACTATCTAAAATTCACTAAATAGAGCATTTTCGATTTTTAATATCACATTTAAATTCACGTATAGTAGAAAAATCTAAATATTATAGAAAGTAATTTGATCAAATAAATCATTTTTCTCAGGACGAAATTATTTCCTGTATGCCAACGTTATCTGACAATAAATCCATCATTAAGAGAAAATTCTGTATGACAAAACTCAGATTTCTTTGTCAATATTTTACGAATTTTCACAGGCTTTGGAGATATAGAGCTTTTAACTTTACCAAGACCATTTAATAATGTTGAGTAACATATCAAATCAGACGTACTCAAACACATTTTAAACTGTTATACCATTTTACAACAGGTCAATACACGTTTGGTGGTTTATTAAGTTCTAACAAGGAACGAAAATGTGAAACTGTCTATCATTGCATATTTCTATGATTTCTATCATCGTTCTACGTCGCGGGTCCAATCCGAACGATGACACTAAAATTCAAGTTGCAAAGCCTTCATCTCTAGACTACCTTGTATTTTCTTAACTGACATAAATATTTTTTGTAGCTTCTTTGTGCATCTATTAGTACTAGACGTCGATAGTACTAATGCGAAATGATGATACGGTGGTTTCATCTAAACAATAGATAATTAAGATCCAATTTTTCATCGCTATAATAATACGTTTCTTTCCTTTCAGAAATAACTAGTAGTGCACAGACCTCTTCAAATTAGTTTCCTATTCCAGTGTGTCGGGACTAGCTTTCCGGTATTAATCTACCCATTTTAGATCAAAATCTATTGGCTATTAAAACAACTGAAAATATTCCTATTCGGTTTCAAACCCACAGCTTTAGTGTACTCGTAAGTGGGCTCACCTTCCCCCAGCCCCTGCCCCATGAGGTCGACATACTTGGGCGCACTATTTGAAAACGTGTTGCGGTGTTGTATAATAATAATAATAATAATAATAATAATAATAATAATAATATGGGCCAATAACATGTGTATCAACCATATATATTCTCTTCCCCTCTGTTATTGGTGAGAAAATCTACCTTCAGTCTGCAAATAATTAAAATAATATATTTGAAGAACATAAAGGTTGCATAATGGGATGTAAACATCAACTCATGATTCTGTTGTCTTAAGGCAAGTCCAATCAAAGAAAAGAAATCTACACACTTGTTATATTGATTACAGCTAGGATTTTATCTCCGTTCCTCACAAATGGCTAAACAAAGTACTGGAAATTTATAAAATATGTCAAATTTAAGAAATAATCCTTAATATGTAATGAATAAATGACGTACAAATATACGATTCCAAGGTAATGTCTTGGGAAAAGATGCTGTTCAAAAGTATATATTCCAGGGCGATTCCCTATCAGCACATGGTTTCTCTAGCTTTAAATCTGTCCAGTTCGAACATCACTAATTGCAGCTACAGACTGAATATGAAAAACTTAAAAAGACACTCTAGAAGACATTTTCCGTGGATGGATGACCTGAAAATCTACACCGAAACACATGACGAATTATAATCGCTTGTAATTGTAGAAAAAATGTTCAGCGATGTCATCGAGATGAAAGTGAAGTAATTCACAAAGGAACTATTCAAAACACAAACAAAATTTTCTGTGATATTATGGATACCTCCTGAAGAAATATATCGCTATTTTGGAAATCCTCAGAACCATCAACTGGACCATAATCGTATCAAGGAGGGACTTCGAATAAATAATCAAAAGCGACTGACAAAGTTGTTAAACACTTGCTTATTAGGGGATAATCTGATTTCAGCTATCAACATCTGGGATAGGCCGGTCTTAACTTAGTACTTTGGTATTGTTACTAGAACTGAATCTAACCTGGAGGAGCCGGGCAGATTGACGAGAAGACTGCCACATTAATTCCGCTCTCTTTATCCAAACTTCTCAGTAAGAAAATTATATCTGGAAAGTGAGCATGTTTACCTGAAAAAATAGCTAAGAAAAATATAAATCATATACAGGGGGATTTTTTTTACCTTGAGACAACTAAATATCTTGAAAACTAAGAATCGTACCAAGAAATGTTTCGAATAAAATTTGTCTCAGAGGGGCCTATTGGACGATACTAATCTCGACCTGCCACCTTCAACCCCTGGGGCTTCTAAATGGGAACCCCTATTTTTATAGCGGATTCGGATTCTCCGCAACAAATACGTAGATTTTGTTTGAAACATTTTTTGTTGTTTTCCAGAAGATGACGCGTACACAATTTTTCGCAATTTCGGTGAAATTGCAGAAGGGGTGAAAAAACATTATGGTGTTTTTAAGAATCTTATCTATTGATAAGATTCTTATTTCATCAACCTCTGATAGAGAGCGGGGGGTAACGTTTAAATTTCAAATGGAACAAATTTCAAATTGCTATAACATCGGGGGTGCTTGTAATCACCAACGGTGTTTGTTTTAGATGAGTCCCCTTGCCTCTCACCAACAGAGTGTTTGTTTTAGGTGAGTCCCCTTGCCTCTCACCGTCGGGGTGCTTGATTTAAATAATAATTACAAGTGCTCAAAAACATGGCCACCCACTTCGATGCATTTATTTATCCGCACTTGGAAAGATTGAACACAACTAAGAAGTTTTGGGGGCGGAATCATACGACATGCAGCGGTGATTCTCTCACTCCTGTTCTCACGTACTGTGGGCAGTTGATCATAAACTTCTTTCTTCAAGTGACTCCACAAATAAAAATCAGGGGGGTAAGATCTGGTGATCTGGCAGGCCAAGCTACTGTACCACCTCTTCCGATCCACCGGCGAGGGTACATGCGATCTAATACTTCTCGTGCGTCTCGATAATAATGAGCTGGACAACCATCATGTTGAAACCACATTGTTTGTCGCACGTTATGGGGAAGTTCTGCAAGCAATAATGGAAGTTCGTTCTTCAACAAGTTTCTATATTTTTCACCATTCAAATTGCCGTCGATGAAATACGGGCCGATGAGTTTGTCGCCAATTATGCCACACCAAACATTCACGTTCCAAGGGCGCTGATGTTCAACTTGACGTAACCAATGTGGGTTTTCGGTATTCCAATAATGCATGTTGTGCCGATTGATTGCACCGTGATTCGTGAAAGTTGACTCATCAGAGAACAATATTCCCGCAAATAATTGAGGATCCCTTTGTTTTTGCAGAAGCGCTCATTGACAGAACGTTATTCGATTCTGAAAATCATCACCATGAAGTTCTTGATGTAAGGAAATATGAAACGGATGATATTTATTGGTATTCAATATTGCCCAAACAGTAGTCTGACTAATTCCCGCACCATATGTCAAGTACTAATGTGGGGATTATGGGCAACTGCAGCTAATACCGCAATTTCATTCTGTTCCCCAGCAACTGTTCTTTGGCGGTTCCATTTTTTTTTTTGGCTGAACACTTCCCTCAGTAGAGAACTGTTGAACAACCCGGTGAAATGAAGCGTAAGCATATGAA